ATAGAATAAATTAGTTTTAATCAAGAAGGGACTTATATTGCTGAAGTTTCTAGGAAAGAATTTTTACCGGAAATTAACAAACGAACAGATACTTAACAATAATTTAAGTTTTAGGCCTGATACATAAACATAAAGTAAGGCTTCCCAGAAACACTACTTCATTATATTCTTTGGTAACTTATATTTTGCTTTTGTCTACAACTAAATGTCAAAAACGTAGATGTTCATTGAACAACTAAAAAAATATAGATAAAATGTTATTTAATTTTTTCCTGTGCGATAACAGAGCCGAGAGTGCTATTTGTTTTGTAATTAAGCCTAAAGCAAAGACTAGTGTGCAATAACTTATCCTAGGCCCAAGTGCATAAAACTTCTCATGAAAGAAAAATATCAATTCTAAATCTAAATCATTTTTTAATTAACCTAATTTGCTGTTATATCACCGAAGTCATTAAAAAAATAAAAAACCCACCTTTCTAACAAATCAATATGTATATTAAGCATTCAACATGAACACCATAGTTGGCCTAACAACAGTATCAGTTGATAGTTTCGTTGCTATGCTACGATGTAAATTGTAGACCATTACCAAAAAAGAAGCGTGACACGCGGGTAGAAACTGGTTATTATATCTATTAATTTACCTTAATGTTAGGGCCCTCGGCTCGCGGGATCAATACCCCTCCTTAAACATGCTCGCCCTTTCAGAGATTTTGGGGTCCAGACTTCAGGCAAGAACTTACTTTCTCGAGGGACATCATTTTACTGGTACAGATATCATGAGTAAGAGTTTATGTCATACTTTTCGCAAGAAGGTTCACTGGTTTGTTGCAACAATACTGCTGAATTAATAACAATGCTAGGAGCTGCAGTCTATGAACTAAATCAGTGGCAATTGGTCATTGTTTCTTTCAAAAGTCTAAAAGGCGTTCTTCTTCACAATGGTAACATATATGCATCTGTTCCTATTGCTCATTCGGTTCACTTGAAGGAAGCATACGAAAATCTCGAACTTCTTGTTAATAAGGTGAAATATTAGGTCATCAAGAACTTAATG